ACCACAGCGAAGAGGCTCTCTTCAACAATGAGGACCACAAGTACGCCACCACCTTCACCGTCAAATGCGTCTCCCTAACGGTACGGGGTGCTCCCACTAATGCTTGTCTGCAGCCATCATTAGGTCCGTCGGCTGGAGGAGCTCCAGAAGAAGCTTGAGGAGATGGCTGAGGGGGAGAGGGAGGCCTACGAGCTGAAGATGCCACATGACATCACCAGTCAGCATCTCGAGCAGATCATTAACAGGTGGGGTGGTAGCTCTACGGAGTGCCGGGTTAAGGTGATGTTAGTTATACTTCTACGGCGATTGGGCAAAAGATGGCGGACGAACTCCTCCTACATCCTATGAAGACTCTCCCTTTACTGGTAGTCATGCTGATCCAGTCGATGACGGAAATACCATCATCTCAGGTAACACGTCTGAAGGAGACTGAGGCCTCGTTGACATCACCAACGAGTGGCCTCGTGGCCGCCGCCTCTAAGGCGTGGTTGAAGGTGGACAAGAGGAGCTACCTCCCGGGCCTCGATCACAGGAGCTATTATTTCCGAGGACACTGTAGGGATTATGATATGATCATCATCGTGGTCAACATTGTAGTGATGCAGGCTCGAAGAACTCCACCAGCCGAGCCTTCCTTACAGATCTACGACAGAGTGATAGCCCTCTTGGTATCGTAGAGGAGGAGAGGGAGTGGGCATCCTGGGGGTAGTGGACATCAGCTTGCGCTGTACTTGTTTATTCGAGCAATGCCGGGTACATCTCAAAGTATACGACTTGCCACCAGCGTACTCCATTCACGCACTTGGGTGGTCACATCGATTCTCTCTGAAATGAATTGGAGATTAACGTAACGCTTAGTCCTGTTGCTTAGGCCTGAATGGTTGTCGAAGAGCGACAGTGGTCGCTACCCCATCACTATTATCGGTAACGCTGCTACCTTCCAGAGCCTCCAACAGGATGGGGTCGCCAATGGGGCGGAACCTGCAGCACAGGGGCCTCCTGTCCTCTTGTGCATGCCTAACGCTGAGGTGAGGTCCTTGCTTGTGGTCATCATGGAGAGGATTCTATCTAGATTCATGAATTGGCATTGAAGTTGGTTAAAGGTAAGGTTGAAGCGAGATGGGCCGAGGAGCCCGTTGATGGTATATCGATTGATATGGCCCTGCATACTCTCGACAAGGTGGTTAAAGACAAGTGAAAAGATGCCTATTTGGCCTCTTCAGATTCTACAACCATTCCTCCCGGCCTCCGCTGAGCTCAAGAGTCCTCGTCCGAGTAATGGGACTAAGATCTTCGATGATGTTACTACATTGAAGGGACAAGAACAGTCAAGTAGCCGACCGGTGTTCCTCACCCAGACCCAGTAAAAGATGTTCCCTTTAGAGTGGGAATTAGTCTATAGATACTCCCTTTTACGCTACTATCACATCATCTACTCGAGACTCGCTCGAGCTGCCTCCGACATAGCACGTCTGAAGAAGCAGTTGGAGCACCAGCAGCAACAGCAAGGTCAAGAGGAGTCCATCACGTCCGAGTCGCCACAATCATTACCCGGAGGAGGAGGGGGTAGGGGTCTTCTTCACCCTGCTGCTGAGGCATTTGGCTCGATGCTAGATAACAATACCCTGTCTACTGATGGCAATAACGTGGTCACCACGGTGCCTGGCTCACAGGGGGTGGACTCACTTGTCAACAGCATTGTGGAGGTGAGTCTGTTGGAATATGCCTCGCTGTTACTATCCCTGAGTTTTATCAGACCTTCTTATCGTCATCGGATCCCACGGGAATGGGTGGTTTCAACAACATAGTAAGAGAGCACTTAGGCTTCAATAGAGGATATTACCTTTACACCATGCCTAAGGTGAGCTTCCTTTTGGGGGCAGGAGTAGGAATATTGATCTAGTACAGGTTTTGGCGAGAATGTCAGAAGCCCTTCAGTTGGTATGTCTTGGTCGAGCAGATGTGGTGAGTAAACGGAAGACTTCTGATTCTGGTGAGAGTCGGGCTGCCCAAAATCTCCTGGCATTAACTCTTCTTAGGGTCACGAGTACCGAGGAGGGACTCAGCTACCCAACGGTTATTTGCACTGAACGAGTCCATACAGTCGGTGGACTTGAACTCTGAAACAGCTAAAGAGCTGTCCATCCTTGGCCTTGAATGGTGAGCTTTGTGGGTCCCTCTGGTGGTTAGTGGATGCCTTAGTTATCGCCACTACAACTACTACGATGCTGGCCCAGACCCTGAGGGCCTCGGTGGATCTATCATAGCCGCCAGCGTTCATGACGATGGCTGGTTCTCTTGCTGTGAGCTGAAGGCATGATTATGATGACGAGTATTCACAATTTGTCTATTATCGATTATCGAAAACGTCCGAATAAATGTTATCATTCCCTTCTCTTTGTACATTTATCATCAGTCATAGCACCTACAGCCGTCACCACTACAACGGGGCGTACATTGATTATCTATACTATCCGCATCAGCCATAGTAATCCCCCGAGACAATGATTGTCAGCTATGCTATTGTGACGTTGTGTTGTCAGCATTTCCCTACTGCCTTAGTCCGACTAAGTTAGTCGAAACAAGAAAGACCCCGACAAACACAACGTGGAGAACTTCCCTCCTACGATCTTCCTCGTATCATTATGAATCAAGGAATAGGGAGAATATGGAAATGGTTCAACTCCCATAATATAGTGATTTGCCCATTGGGATAACACTACACTGGATATAATTGTACGAGACGGCTTTTCAAGGCCTGTTCATATATAGCCGACGAAGACTATCTTCATCATAAGTTCAGCTGCAGGAATCCTTCAGCCTGGAGAGACATCTTGTGTTCTACGGGCGATTGGGACAGCGACAATGATGCAGCAGCATCTTACAATTATGAAGAGCTCCCCGAAGACTCCAAAATGGTTCAAGCGTGTCTGAAATTTACATGCGCCGAGAAATTATAGGGGTTGGGCCCT